CGTTCATAAAGATATTAATTGTAGATATTGTCGTCATTTTCAATGAGTTTTCTAGAAAAATAAAGAAAAATGTAATTAGAGGACTAACCAATCTACATTCTAATTGTGTAAATTGCATTGCTATGAAGTATTAAGAAATAATATTAAAAGTATTTATAGTCTTTAAACACAATTACCTGTATGTATATTAACTATAGGTATATTTGTATTTTTTATAATTTTAAAATTATTTAATGATATAGGTACATTATTATTACGTTTTATATGTTAATAAAAAACCAATGTATTAAAAAGTAACATTCATTATTTTGCTAAGTATAATCATAGGTATTTATAAAGATTGATCATGAGTTAAAGGGATCATATGTATATTTCTAGAGAGTTAACAAAATACTTGCTCATAATACATTTGATTTCTCTGAACATTTAAACCCCAAATTACTAACTTTTTTGTCCCTAAGTCGTACATTAATGATCATTATTAGCAAAATAACATACACCATGAAAAATATTAGATCCGAAACTAACTATAACATTTTATTTTTAATCATTTTATGTTGCCATCGAATTCTCACACATTTTATATGATAAAAAAAATAATAAATTATAAATTAAAAATTATAAAACGATCACATTTTTTTTCCATCAAATATTGACTCTTTTATAGAATTTCCATAATAAATGCACATTAATACTCATATAATAATATGAATAGGAATATCAAAATTATGAACAATATGGCCGATAAAATTGAAATATGCATAAAAATGCCAAAATAGCAAAAAACCACTAAATATTCAAAAACATGCAAAATAAAACTTCACTTATTTAACCGTGCCACCTTGAAATGAATTTCTATGTCATCTAGCATTAAATACAACTTAGCAAGATTGATATGCAAATGCATGAACTTAGGAGCCCTGGTTATTAAATATTATTTATTATTTGCATACATTTTACGCGATAAGAATGATTTTTTTAAATGAAAAAAAAAGGATTTCTTTTAAACAATATCTATCTAAAGAACTTTTTTCACTAGACCCAGAGTCTGTTGTATAAAGGTTCGATTTCATATCCATATATTCGTATATTCGTGCGCAGCAAAGGTTTGTAATATTTACACTTAACCCGCTCCACAACGGTGCCGCTACCAATTGTAACATACATATGCATCGTCAGATCATATTATAAACGGTATAACCCGTAACGTTTTCCATCATTTTCTAGCTGTTTTTTACTACCCACCGTTCAGTTTTTCATTTTCAATCGTTTTCCCGTGCGTCCCCCGCACCCGCGCGTCATCGACGAACACGAAGGCGACGCCATGCCCAACCGTTACGTTTCTAACGATATAGCTATGCGGTATATGTAGCACACGCTTTGCGTTCCCAGGACCCGTTTCCGGGAGCCTCGATAGTAATTCGATTGGTGGAAAATTGTTCCGTTTTGTTATATTTCCATCAGTGTCGTACACTTTTTTAGTATAATCAACCAACAACTGTTAGCTGTAATTCTAAAACAATAAGCTAATAAACAACATTATACAATCAAATACTATTCCATAAACTACACGGACTTTATACTACATAACTCTCTACATTTATTACAATACGAAAAAAATGTATGAATCAAGAAATATTTTATTTGTTCGGTAGTTTTGCAGTGGAATATTCGATTAAACTCGTCTACTTTATAAAGAAGCCAAAATATAGTTGAAGTATGGTAAAGACTATAATATCCCTTTGAAAACTTCTTGACCAGTAACTTAATGCAATATAATATTTGTTTCATTGTTACGTTTATATGACCTAGTTACCAAGTCCATAATATTATATATTATTATTAATTAATAATTATTAATCGGTGTTGGATGATTGACAGTATACATGTATATATAACGATCATTTTTTTCTGGAATCTAAGTGAAACGAGGAATATATTGTTTTTACCATGACGTTAGTTGTTTTTTTTTTTTTTTGTCTGTGTTAACGATTTCGATAGAAGTACATTAGTCTGACAATAAGTTTTGAAAATAAAATACCAAGTTCCTCGTACATTTATCCAGGATTGCAAAAAACATAAAATACGTTTTATTCGTTTAAAACAATGATTTTTATGTTTTAAACAGTTTCTAATTGTAATTTTATTCGTTAGTTTTAAACATTAATTAAAACTGTTTTTTTTTTTTTTAAAAAAACTAAGCCTTTTTTAAAATATTTTCCCTAAATGAGATTATTACTCTTAGATTTTTAGCCAGAATACAGTACAAGTGAAAGGTGTTGTTTTAATAATTATTTAATAATCAATCTCTATACGACAGATTCGATTTTAAACTGTATTGTATAAAAAGTAGTAATCCAGGTAGGATAAATAATATAAAATATATACCAAATATACCAAACGTTAATTCCACAATAATTGTATTAACTATTTACATTCAATTCTTTTAGTACTAATTGGGAATAGTTATTTCCCAATTAGTTAGTATGAAAATAATTTAAATGCTACATAAAAGACAAAATTTTTCTAATGAGAATTATTTTAAATATACAGATATTATATTTTTTATTATACTGTAGTTTTTGTGCTAATTAGCTGATGAAGATTATATGTAACTTTGATATGACAATATTTCATATTTATTGTTGGAACTAATATATTTTTTAACTAAAACACAGTTATAGGTTTTGAAATTTAGATAACGGCAATCATTTATTTTTGTCTCGTATGTAATTTATTGTAAACTATTAAGTTTCAAGCTATAATATTTTGTGACCATTCATATATGGAACAATACAACAGACCTATTTTAAATTTTTACAAAAATATTGGTTTTAAAATTTGAATTTGAAAATAAATAAATTTGAAATTCAAGGATTGTTTTGTTATTATGTTAATATTACTGTAGAGGTTAGATTGGTGAGAATTTTTTTTTTTTTGACATTGACACCAATGAATTTTGAAATTTAATTTTTATTTCTTATCAATAAGGAGAACTGACCCAAGCCCGTACACGTTTATGATATCAGGTATACGGAAGATACGAATATTTTTAAGGGCATTTTTTATCGTTACTGACAAGGTAGTCATACATAACACATTAGCATTTAATAAATTTCGATGGGGTAACTTAATTTATATTTTTCCAATATTATTAAACATATATTTATCGTTTACGGATATTTTGAAGTAGTCGAACATAATATTGTTATTTATTATTGTGATAAAATTGAATATTTTGGTGAGTGATGGAAGGTTCACAGAGTAATCACGTGCTTCGCTGACTCATACAAAAATTAGTACTCTGTGCCCTGACTACCCCATGGGCACGCTTATACCTTATACTTAGTAAAAGTTTATGATATCTCCAACATTTTTCTGACAATGTGACCAACTGTTAATACATATGTTTCATATTTTTGAAATTTTTTACAATATGAAATTATTGTGTTTAAAACTCTGTTATGTTAATGTTATGTTTTAAACGTTTATTTATTAAATGTTTAAAATAAAAGGTTATATTTAAAACGTTTAAAATAAATTTCTTTAAACACTTTGCAACTCTGCTTATATCTCACTGATAAGTGAAAAAAAATAAATCTTACAAGCACTTGATATTAAATTTTGACAAAACGATAAAAATCACAAAAATCCGCTTCACTTTTGTAGTTAAACATTTATAAAACTTTTATTTTTTATCCTTAAAACTAGAAAATTAGATACAAGAATTTTCATGAGATTTATTTTATAGCCAAAAAAAAATTTTACTGGAAATTCTCAAAAAAGATTTAAGAATTAACATACTCAACAACTGAGTTTCGTTGATGTATCCGTTTAATAACTTTGATATTTTATAGAAATAATCACGGGAAAAAAATTATATTTGTTATACGATTTTTATCTGTGGTATACGTTCGATATTTAACCATTTAAGATGTACATTGCACAACCTTCAGGCATGTTCTGTTCCGCAAATGTTGGATATAAGAACTAGATTATAATAAAAAAAAATCGTTTCTAAAATCAACATTAACCTATAAATCTGATTTTGTGTTTAAAACTGATCATTAAATAAACTGATATAATCTATATATTTAAAATTGATTGAGTGAAATGAATTATTTTATTTAAAATTTTTTTTTTCTAAAAAAATAAAGGAATAAAGAGAGGGAAAAATTAGGATGGTTTTATAAATATATAAATATGTTTTATAAACATTTTCGTCATTTAATTTTCACGTAATATTTTTATTTAAATATACTAAATATTATAAAAATCGGAATTTATCTGTGATATTTGTAAAAATCAATTTTCCACCAAGTTTACACTTGCAAGGCATTTGAAAAATAAACATGAAATAACAAATTAAGTATAACAAAAATCATCTAAATGCATTTCTTGGCCTAATCTAACATTTTTTATAAAAGTATTGTTAATTAATCATTTAAATGATAATCATGGAACGTGTATTCAAAAAGAATTTAACAATTTTTCAAATGTATATGGCATGTATAATTTATTTAGTAAAAATATACTTTTAATAATTTTGTATAATATATAATTTATTAAACTCTAGAATTTAACAGCTAGGGCTTACCCTGTTTTCAAATAGTTATTATCAATATTTTTTACATCATTGTCAATTAATTTTTGATAACATTAAATATTATTAACAAGTCAAACAGAAAGAATATATTATATTATATGATAATTTTTCTAATTAAATTTAAAAAAGTTATAAAAAGTTTACGAAAAAAATTGTGCCTACCTATATAAATAAAAATAATTATAACTGTAATGTTATGGTATTATAGTGATTTGATATTATACATTGATAACAACCAAACATAATGATAATGGTGAAATATTTCCGCGCATGCACAGTATGTATAAGGTGCATTCCTGTGTTTAGACTCTCCTTACATAATAACATTGATTAAATATACTGTTTTTTTAATGATAATAACTATGTATATTCTTATTTATAAATGTGTGTGATAAGGAAATTTGTTGTTTGGAATAAATATTGAAATATTATGATAGTATTCTAAATTACTTATTGTTATTATTGCTTGTTATTTATTACTTGTTAGTCATGAATCATTATCATAGTTTGTATTCATAATCATTATTATTGTCACAGCTCAGCACACTCATGGTGCGCGGCAATCAATCTTACTATCAGAATAATATTTTCATTTATTTCAGAATATTGCTTTACAATTCTATTTACTTCTAATAGTATTATAGGTATTACTGGTTTTGTCTTTATCTTTGTGACCGAGTCTTGCGTGTGAACCTGCGTGTAATGTAGATTTTATCCAACTCTGTTCAACCAATAGTGACTTTGTTTTGCACTCAATAACGCGTCTTCAGATTTCATGTACAAAGAAGACCAAATCATTCATCGTCATTATCATCATTATCATCATCATCATCTTCCAATGCGTCGGTCTTGAGACTCTATCTGATGGTGTCCAATTGTACAGATCATTTGCCTGATACGTAGCAATTCTTTGTTCAGCCACAGTACTGTTTGAATGTGAATGCACATTGTTGAATCATATTATAGGTAACTGAGCTTTGTTTACAGATGATCAATGTGTCTGTTACCAATCTCACTAATGATGTGACATCCACTGCTTTTGTGCCAATCAAGTCATTGGCCGCTCCACATCCACCTGTTCCATTGAGTCCGTTCACTGTGATAATCATTGTTATTTTTATTTGTCTGATGCTTTTTGGGGTAAGTATAACTATAAACTATACATTACTTATATTTTATTTTTAAACACTTTCACTTTTGTAATTGCAGATAATAATAGCAATAAGAAGAAAGAGGAGACTCGACAGGCTACGGCATTCTTTGTTACCTTTCTATTCATTTGATGCCAATGAAGAAGAAGACTGGGATTCAGATCTCTTACAACACGATAGTGGCGCTTCGACCATTCGAGTAAGAAGATTTTGTTTGTCATTATTTGATGAATGTTTTAATTAAATTAATATACTTAATAATCCATTTGATTTAAATATTTTTAAATAAACTACTACAAAGATTTTCATCAAGATCTTCATTCTTCAAAATGTATTGAAAATGTTTTTATTCAAAATTTAATAATTATTACTAGTTAGGTAAACATTCATCACTATTAACTTCAAAAAATTGTATAAGCTATTTAAACCAAAAATATACTTCTTTACTATGTTATGGATTGTATATACAGATTATAGTTCTCCTATTAGATGCTGCTGTAACATAGTTAGTGTTGTTAAGTTTATTCAAGAAATACTAATTGTTTACTATTAATTTTATCCTGTAGTAATTTAGATTTAGGTACATTTTCATTACTTTTCTTTTTGTAGACATAATGTACTATAACTTATTTCAAATTTCAAATTTTTTTCCAGTTACTATTTATAATTTAATTCCTTTTGTATTTTAGTCTGAACATAAGTCATTCAGAGATTTCTAGATTTCAACATGCGTTCTTATATTATGTATTTTTTCTCTAAAAATTTAATCATTATACTGTTGTGTATAATGCTTTATTGGATATCTTTTAGCAGCATGGTCAAACATTTAGACACGAGAGCAGTTTCCACAGCTGGCATGAGAGATTTAGTCCGATTCAAAGGTTACCTTTATCCAAAAAAATACAATACTAATGAATGCTTGATATTGTACTTTATTAAATAATAAAATATTTAATTTTAATTTTATACAAACACAATATTTAGTTACCTGGTATCAGTAGAGTCAAATAGAAATTTTTATGTAGAAATGTGAATTTCTTTTCTAAAATAACCACCTTTGTAGTACTTGCCTTGGTAGACTTTAGTATTGTACAGTTTTGCTTTGATGTTCTTGTTTTTCTACATTCTATTTATTTTTTTTTTTTTTTTTTTTATGGGTTTTATTATGTATATTTTATATACATATTTATATTTTTCTAATCATCAAATCAAATATATTTACTTAAGAGATATTTATTTTGTATTTATAATTGCATAACATTAATAAGTAATAACAATCTATGATGCATTTTATATATGATATTATTCATTAAAATCTTATTGAAATCTGCTGAATAATAGAACTTACCTGATGATTTTTGTAAAAGTATTTTATATAGCTGTACCTATTTTTGTGAATCTTAACCAGTTATAAATTAATATGCTTGTTGTTTTGACATTCATTTAGTTTGGCTTAAATTATTGTAATGTCGTCTTTGAACAAAGTTTAATGCAAACATATTCTTAAAAAAATAGTATTTCATTGTATACTAATGATTTTATGATGAATATTTCAGAGCTATGGATCGGTTGAACTGAATTTTATGGCTGCAGATAAAGAAAGCAAAAAAATATCACACTTATAAGAGTGTATATTGTTACTGCTGTCATTTGTATCGCATTTTAATACTAGTATCGAAAATATTGTTTATTGTCTGGTCACATAAAAAAAAAATGTCTCCATTTATACATTTACATGTTCCTTGCAATCCTATTTTTAAATTAAATGACAATCACTGTCACTAAATATTTTTACTATTTATTTCCACTAAAAAAAAAGATTTGTCCAATTGTGTTCAGACAATACACAAAATTATTGTGTTTATAGATTTTTATTTTTAATATATGTTACTGTTGCTATTAGCTATATTTAAATTAATTGTGTACACATACCAACCACAAGCTTGATGCTCAATCATTTTTTTATAAGACTTTTATGTTTAATAGCTTTTAGCAGCAATTGTTTATCGATTTTCTCAAATAAGTCTCATTACTTCTGTTACTTATTTTTACAATTTGCATTTTCTATTTGTACTTAATAGTTTTAGTTCACTCAACTGTTATGTATACCAATTGTGGCATTGACTCGTTAACAACTTTTTTTTCATATAATAAATACTGACTGTATACTTATTTATTATTTATTAATATTAAATTTGTTCCAAATTTTTTTTAATATTAAAATAGCCATTACATATTATTTGTTTCTTATGTCAATAATGTTTGTTAACGAGCCTTTAGTTCTAAGATTAATTGTTCATAATTTATTCTTCTAGTTAAAGGTATGACAATATAACAAATAATTTATCTTATTATTATTAATAATATTGTTATAAAAACAAATAAAACAGACTGAATTAGTTTATTAATCACTTATAGTAGGGAGTACAATAAAATGTTTTGTTGATTAAAATTTGTGTTTATTTGCTTAAATAGTTTATAATATATTATTTAGTTTATTAAGTCCCACAACACATTGATGACAATACATGAATTTTTGTAGCTTAGAGGACACTTGTACAATTTTGTTTGGTTACTAGTTAATGATGGATTTTAAGTTTTCTTGACAAAAGGTTAAAGATTACCAAATTACCATAATATTTGTACAGTTACATTAATTGAATAGTAATGAAGGCCAATATTAATGGTTATATATATCACCAGTAATCAATTTTAAGCAAATGGACTAGTAGTATACTATCAAGCACTTTATTATCTTTTTTTTTATCAGATTGTTTATTGAATCAGTGGTAGACTAATACACAGATGGACACAAAGTAATAGAACTCTTCTGAATTAAAATATTACGAGCAGTCTTTATTTTTTTTACTAAGGCTAATATAATACATAATTTTTTAATTTGACTAAAATTATTTTTACTATCCACATTCATTTTTAATTTCACTTATAGGTGTAACGCTATTATTTATATCTTATGGAATAGGAAACAAAGAAAAACTGAAAAGAAATAAGAACTAAACTTATATTTAATGTAAAATTGTAATAGTTTTGGAGAAGGTAAATTTATTTGCTAACTTCATTATTTTTGGCTAAAATAGAAAAACAAAATTACTCAAGTTTAAATATCCATGATGCTGAATACAGATTACTATCAATTACTAAGCACAAAGTATATTAAATATTAAACTATTAAGTAATCTGTATTTAATTTATGTAAGCGTGAGTCTATTAAAAGAAACAAAATTTAACATTCATTTTTAGATCTCCGTGCAACAAAAACTATGTTTTTAATAAACAATGCATAAATTAAAAAATAATTAGTTTCTAAGGACTGCTCAATAATTAATATTGGAATTAAATTTAGTTGAATAAAAATAAATAATCGTAGTAGCAAGAAATATTCAAAACAAGATACATTTTGTCAGGAAAAAGTATGAAAAACATTATTTTATATCAAAATTGTATTTGCATTTATTACTGGCAATTCTTATGTTATATTAATTTCATCAAGTATAATTTTGAAATACTTTTCTTATTCATACAATTTTCAGGTACAATACTAATTTTCAGATATGTACAAATAAATCAACATGATTTATCCAAATAACTCTTAAGATTTTTTTTAATACTGTTTTCCTATAATACATGTAATGAACATCTAAATGTACAAAAAAAAAAAAAAACATTAAAACTGTTAAAAATGTGTATATAGTATAAAATTTATATTACATTTAATGTAATAGCAAAGTTTAGACAGTTGAAAAAAATTCTCGGAAATAATTGATTATAATTAATTATATGGTAAGTAATTTTTAAACATGAAAAAGAAGTATAATATACATAAATATATAATTATTTAAATGTCTAGTTGATATAAATGAAATATTCTATGATTTTCCCACATTCTAATTTTTTTTCAATTAATTAATTAATTTCTATTTTGCTTGAAATAATTAATTTAAAAAAAGTGGTTCACAAATTAAAAATTATTTATCTTAGCATATCAATATTTCTGAAATCAATAAATTAAAAATAAACATAATTATTTTTGATCCTTATAATTATAAAGTTATAATTAATGGCGAAGTATATTTTATGATACATGATTAATACAAATTTAATCTTCATCTTCTTCTTCTTCGTCATTTTCTTCAGCAGATTCTTCTTTTTCTACTTTTTTTCCAGGTGGCCTGCCTCGTCCTTTTCCTGTTGCTGTAATCTAAAAAAATTTTAAATTAAATAATTAATACAAAATAGCTCAATATGTTTGTATACCAATTAGAAGCTATATGTTGCTAACTTACTTTAGCCTTAGATTTGCTGCCTTGGCTACCTTTCTTTGGCCTTCCTCGCCCTCTCTTAGCAATTGGTTCATCATCTTCACCTTCTTTTTCGATCTTCTTTTCAACTTTGTCTGATTTTACAGGAGAGTCTTGTTTAACAGCAGGTCTACCACGCTTTTTTACCTCTTTCACTTCCTTGTCATTTGCCTATAAATAATACAAAACCTTAAATAACATTCATATAATAATTAAAATTATTAAAACATACATCAACTGCTTTAGCAGGTCTTCCACGACTCCTCTTTTCAGCAATAACACCATTGTCAGACATATTGATTGTTTTTCAATTGATATATTAATTCTGAAAAATGTAAAATTCTATAAAAAAATTTCATAACACGATTGACATAGATAATTTTTTTTTTTCATTAACCAGTAAGATTTATGAGAAACTCCATTTAAATTTCAAAACGTTTTTTTAAATCAAAATATTTTAATTAACATTTTAAAACAAAAAAAAAAAAAAAAAAAGTAAAGAAAAAAAACATGGATATATATGTATTTATATATCTATAAATACTTTTAAAAAAACATCAATTTTGTCAGAAGCCTGTATTTCGTTTTTAATTTTTTATTTTTCATTAATCTATTAAAAAAAGTAGAGCAAATTTCATAAAATAACATAAAATTTTTATTTCTATATCAAAATGTGTTCATAAATATAAAATTGATGTTTTAAATTATTTATCATCATACATTAAACTTAATTCCTAGAAAAATTATACTTCATAATATAAATATAAAATGTTGTATCTAATATAAATGCTTCCCAAATGTATCACATTGATAATTTTATTTGCTTGTGTAAAAATCAAAGTTTTAATAAAAAAAAGCAGTTATAGGTATCGAATTTAGTATAAGTATCTGACTTTTTTCTAATAACACAATATTAAAAAAAGTATCAATAATTGTAAAATAATATAGTATTATCATATATTTTAAAAAGATAAAATGTTAACATTAACAAAAAAATTCAATGACGTTAAACTCACGATTGTTACTTAACATTTTATTATAATATATATGAAAATTCTTAATGTAATTGTTTCAAATTTTTCCTTCATATTAGAGAAAACTACCAAGCCCATTGAAAAAAAACCCAGACCAATTTGATTGTTTAATTTACAATTCGATTAGGTACTGAAATTGTAACTTGATTCTATAGAATATTTGAATATTAATATTAAGTTTTATTTTACGTTAATTTAATTGATTAATATTAAAAATGAATACAAATGAATCAATTTTTACATAATAGACAAACAATTAATTAACTCAACTTCATAATTTGACTGATGGGTAAATTTCAATACCTATCAAGACAATTGTTCAAACAAAATTTCACCTATTATTTTATAAAATATATATTTATACAATAGATAATTAAATTAATTATAATACATAAGTGTGCTAACATTGTGTATTCAATCAAATATTAATTAATATTAAAAAGATAATACATATCAATAACATAAAAAGAAAAAAATTTTGATTGAAAGTTTCAATTTTATTAATAAAAATGTATTAAAAAATCATTATAGCTAAATAAAACAGCTGTCTACAAAATTTGATTCTATCTGAAGTGAAAAATATTTACAATTTTTATTTTTCATAAAAAAATTAAAAACCAAATATTCCTTATGACATAATAGATAATAGATATTTTCCTTTTGTGACAGTGTAAAAGGAAAAATTAATAATTGAAAACTTTTTTAGTGATTGAAATTTTTGGTACGAATTTATTTCCTAAAAAGTATTAACAGAAAAATCAAGAAAACATTTTATAGAAACTTTCATAGTATACAATAAAAATACTAATTTAGTAGAAAAGTAACCTCTATTTTAACTTACTATGTTATAATCAAATATTAATCAGTATTAAACTAATCTTACCTAAAACCTTACTAGCATTCAAGGTATAATCAAAAAGTAAAAAAAAATTATCGTATAAAATTTTCTTTAAAAATTAGCAACTAAAAGAATAAACAATAGTTTACACAGAATATTATACAAGAAAGAAAACATAAATCTCGGAAATCATGTATTTTACGATTTTACAATGGGGACTTTAGTCCTTCGACCACACTTCCTTTCTCATAATCTATATTCGAGGTTAGACTGATGAGTTCACTGAATTTAACCCGAACCTCATAATTATCATTTATATATACTTAACCACATAAAACCAATTTTTAAAATAATTCTGGAAGATTTCAATATAATTTATGACAAATAATGTATAGTTAGTATCTATTTTTTTATAAAAAATTTAAATTTAACATACTAGTATGCAAATATATATAAAATCGTTTTAATTCAAATTAAATTTCTATTATTTAATTTTGACAATTTCAACATAAAATAAGTAAAAATAATTAAATTATCTTAAGATAAATGAAAAATTATCAATTAAACAATAGACTATGCAATGATATTGTACAATTGTGTTCAATTAAATTGCTGAATTAGGTAAATCAAAAATATCAAGTTTTTTAAGTACTCAGTATTTTACTATTTTTATTGTTCCATCATTTATCTTCTACATATGTCTAATCTTAAATGAAAACATACTGTGACAGTAAGAAAAATAATATTGTATTATAAGTTCACTGTATACAAACGCTACAGAATAGGCAAACCAGTGACAAAATTACGCCTAACTAGCAAGAATTAAACGAGCGAGTTATTATTACAGAAGTGTTAAAATAAATTGCTGACGAATTGATCATGCCTAACATTATTCCCTCATATACCTACAAGTCGATCAATAAGTGTTGAAATTACGATACGACTATTTTGGTGTATTTATTTAATGTAATAAAAAACAATTAGGAAGCGGAAGTGCAATGAAAGGAGGGGAAATTCGCCGCAAAACTTGCACTCTCATGTTATTATTATGCTACGTAAATATTACACGCGGCGAGGACTAGGAACGAAAATGAAAATATACTCAGTTTCATTCAATTAGATTCTTAATTCTTACCCTAAACGAAGAAATATTACATATGTAGCAAGCGAATGAAAACAATGCAAGAATTTTGTGAGCAAGTATCATTTGTTATTAAAAACCGTATATAAAAGGTGGTTAGGAGGAGAGGATAGAATACGTTGTATTACCTGCATTACCAAAATAATACGCTTAAAAACACAATAAAAGATACAAGTAACAGACGACATGCAAGTTCGGAATGTCGTAAAGGAAATATTACGAGAACAAATTAACTACAATATAATTTCATCATTTGTTCGCATCAGTATTCAAGAATAAATTGGCTGTTTAAAAATCGTATAATCCTTAGAACTTGAGTAAAAATACTTACAATTTAGTTAAAATCATAAAATGATTTAGTAACTAGTTACTAGACTCGGTAAAAAAGAAGCGATGTTGGCTAGGGCGAACGCACGCCTTTGTTGAGAATTTGAAGGTTTGAAACTCACGAATGAAAAGGTATGTATATCCATATAGGCTACAATAAATGTTTATTTTATAGAAATATTTTTCATCATATTGTATTAAAGACGAAAGTTAGAATTTCGATATTGAGATCGTTGTAGTTGTAAAAAAGAAGCTACAGTGGTAATTTGTTTTTTAACTAATTTTTAATGACTAACTATGAAAAAAATTAATTTTTAAAGGTAATGAAGCAGGTAAGTACAGCAAAGTCTATATAAATTTTAACATGCCACCCTCAAAAAATCAATACACAGACGGGCCATACGAACAAGTACTAATAAACGTAAACGCGCAGTGCATTCCCTCCATAAATCTGGTAGATCGGCGGTGGTGACTTTTAATTGTCAAAGCCGAAAACCGCCACGGGAGCGCATAGCATAGAACGTCGTTAAAATTAACAATCGTAGGACGAAGCGAGACAAATGTCAAGTAACAAGAGAAATCGTCAAAATTAATAATATGTCACGACAAAAGCATAACGTTAGAAAAAAAAATTAAGAATCCGTAGAACGGCCATTTGGATTTGAACGCCATGCCAACGGTAAAAAAAAAAAATGTAAAATAACTACCGGTAAGCATTCCGAACCTACTTGGGCATCAACAACTGAAAGACCGCGAAAAACGTATGATATCAGTTAAAGCGCCATAACAAAATATATATAACGAAATTAAAGTGCGCGCGCGCGCGCAATTACTGGCGGGCTCGACCGTGCGTGTGTGTGCGTCGCATGACGTACATAACCACTACACCGCACGTACATAGCAAAACAATAAACGAAGTGATTTTTACGCAGTTTCAAATAATTTCGTGCGTACGCGAGGTGCAAGAGCCGGGTACAGATCAAACTTCTAAGAATAGTCTCTGAACACGTCGATTGAATAATGTGCGTGACCGGCTAAAAAATACATTAAAAAAAGTAAAAAAAAAAACCAACACCAAAACGGTCGGTGGCGTGGCGCAGCGATACGATAAGCATTCCGCGGGTAAAAAATCGAAAACTAATAACAACATGGATACAACCCATGGCCACAGACCATTAAAAATAAATAAATAAGCGCATACGATACCTGTGGTAATGGCCGTAACGATATTGTTTATGTGTGAAACACAGAGGACGGGATACGATCAACGGACGATTGTCGAGTGGACGGCGGCAAGTAAACAAGACCCGGCGATGGCGACGGTTTGTGAATGGCAGTTATCCGCCGACCATAGGACCTCCGACGGTTGCATCACGCAGTGCCACCACAACCTGTGCTGTAGTTAACACTGCGGATGTATAACTGCCGTTCGAAAATGCGCGCCAGCGACAGTAGTTCTAACACCTCTTGCCATGATTCCGGTCGCGAAGTATCCAGACACAGACAGTGCCGTATTTCCCAGTAAACACTATAAGCTAGTGCTTAGGGCGGTAAATAATTTTTAATATTACATTTTTATTATGTGTAACTAGAACTAGAAATAAATGCAAATAATTTTAAAATGTTTTATTTTATGAAAGCCGATGGGTACTAAGAACTAACTGTTTAATTTTGAATATAATTTAAAAATGAACTGTTTAAGCATTTTTTACTACCATGTTTTTTATCATTATATTTTATATCATATTTTTATAATTCAGTTTTTCATATGAATGTATGAATGCATTTTTATAACAGCTGTATATTTTTATTTTACATCATTAAAATTTTAAGTTATAAAGAAAACAACTATAATTGTATGCTTTAATATTATTGATTAAACTAGAAAAATATTTATATTAAAAGCCGGGTATTTGTTTAGTGCTTAAAACGGCACAATGGTGAAATCCGACTCTGCACACAGACACCGGACTTTCGATACTTTCGCAACACGCTGTGTCCGGGTTACCACCGAACAGCATCACGAAGTGCACGCCACTCATCCAGACAACGATACACAGTGGTCCGGAAAGTGATCAGAAAGCCGGTTCACATTACTAGTAAGAATGCACGATTAAATTAATCGTTGACACTCGCGAGTAGTTTAAGACTAGACACTAGCTATAATTATGCACTCACGATGACACTCGTAGTTGATTGCCCAGAAGGCTGTAAATTGTTCCAAGCCAACATATAAACTCGTACATAATCGAGGTGATTCTCACACGGAATAATCAGTAATTATCAAAAATAATCAGATAGTAAACAAATAACACGTGACTCGGTAATCGTAATTTTGTGAATACTCGTAATAACTCATACTTCCGATAAGTGTGGAACGTCACTTCGAAGATCTTGCAATTGATCGGAAGGAATAGTCACTTATCTCTTATGATTATGACTGAGTTATGTGGAAGCGGCTTTACATCTGCATCACAAAAACAAATTTAATAGTATACAATTAAAGGCATATAGAAACATGAATGTAACAAATTGTATAATCTAGCGATTAGATTCTAGACATTTTAAGCCCATATTTTTCAAATTTATCAATGTGGATCTTGCAAGATCATGTATATTATCAGGCCCTGATTTACGCAAGTGCAGATGGACCACTTGCACTTGGACTCTAATTTCTAGGGCTTCCGGTCTCCGTAAGTTGTAGAAAATTGTTTTTTTAAATTAATTCCACAAAAATGTATTGTGCAATATATAATACCAACTGTCAATGTACAGAGTTCAGTATATTTTTATCATTAAATTGTCAGTTAAATGTTGGTTATTTTTGTGATTCCACACCTCAGTGCTAATCAGTTACCACACAAAATAATAAAATAATAATAATAGAAAACTGAACATCCGAAATATTTGATACCTAATAACTACATATTTATAGATTTCTTCGAGCCCAGTATTTACAAATTAACCCGTCGTTGGTGACGCTGTGAGCATTTCGCACACATAATTACCATTTTTAGTATCACTGGTTTATATTTTATTCGATTTTGGTAATACTGTAAACTTATACACTTCATTCAGTTATTCTTATTCACGGAAATGATTACGGAAAAACTAAAAGCAACCTATAGTATAAAACTAATAAAATAAAAAGTTATACGTAGGTAACACCAAAAACTGCACACAGGCGAAGTGTTAGATAATATTGCAAATAATCCAGTAGTAAATTTGTCTAAAAACAAGATTATATTGTAAACATATTATATGTTCTTTGTGATATAATAATTTCTTAACTAGTCAAACTTAATCATGCTTACATACTGTTGGAACAAAAATTTGGTTTCTTATATAAAAATATAACACGCCTAGCAGTTGTTAACTCAGTTAAATTAATACTGCAAACGTATTCAGACGATTTGGACTATGAACTAGTACAGCGTTTTCCAAATAGTGGGTCGCGACCCAATACCGGATCACAAAAATATAATACTGGGTCGCAGAATTTAATAAAATTCTCATAATAAATTTCTTATTTATAATTTCATTTGATAATTTGAACTTTTTAGTAAAAATAAATTCATTAATACGAATAACTATTATTTACAACAAAAATAATAATTATTGAGATTATTAACTAGATTTCATGAAAAACCCGTATAGTATGGCATTCACTGTATCTATAAATACGAGTACAGTATAATAGTAACAAATTAACGTTTCAATTTTATTATAAAATTCTATGTGGACATTCAAATGTGTTTTATTTTGCCTTTTTCACACAATGATAAATGTAAAATATTTTGGTGGGTCACAAAGGGGAAAAATATTAATTATCGGGTCAGCCTAAACAAGAGTTTGGGAAACGCTGAACTAGTAGATGAACTTATACAATATCAAAAACTGAAAGAAATATTTTTTTAGAATCCACATATAAAATAGTAGACTCTCAAAGTCAATTGAAGTATTTACGTTACATGGATATACGTCATACATTTCCTAATATTGAAATATTATTACAAATATACTTGACAATTCCGTGTACTAACTGTTCTAGTGAGTGTTCTTTTTCTGCATTAAAATGAATTAAAACACGTCTCAGGCATAGGTGGTACTAGACCCTCTTAGCAGGAGGGGGGCAGGAAATACTTAAAGTAAAATATTAACACTATTTTGTCTAAATCTTTAGACTAGCAGTACTATAAAAAAAAGTATTTTATTGATAACTATTTTAACTTATTTCAAATAAGATTATTTTGTAAAATTAATAATACACTTACAAATACCTAGATTTATATTATTTTATCTTATAAAATTTTAAAATAATTTACCACAATTTACCTGTGATGGTTCTCATAGGCGGATTCAGAGTGATACATTTGAGTGTGCCCTGTCATTTTTTGGTTATTTTTTCAAAATATAATGGGAGACTATAAACACGTACGTGTAGACCGTGTTATGATTTAAATTCTAAAAATAAAGGCTTCGTTAATGATTTAAAATAACGATTGGTAAAATATACACGTAATTATTATTTCAGACTTATTCTGAACACTTGCAATATTACTTACAAAAAACTAAAATTTAATTAATGTTTACGCACATATATTCTCAATTGTAATCATTCAATTTTTTTATTTGCATTATTCACATTAGGGTGTGCCAAGGCACACCCGGCACACCTCGTAGATCCGCCTATGATGGTTCTTGTATGAAAAAGTCGTATAAAGTTTTTATTTTTTTACTTTGGTTTGTGTTCATTATTTTTATTATACCTAATTAATATTATCCGAAAAACTCAAGAATACTAAATAAAATACACACTTCAAATGAAAGTATAAAATCATACAAAACGTTTGTGATACAGATAATAATAAATTAATAATATTGGTTCATGATTTGTCAATGATAAAAATAAATTATAATAATATTGAAAATGTTGACACAAAAAATCTAATCACCATATTTCCAAGAATGGCTCCCATGGTTGTAGATAATAATATTATTACTTACAGCCATGCAGACTCTAAATAAGCATGTAATACGAGGGGTTATATATATAATAATATAATGGTATACCAACCAATATTTGAAATGTATAGGGAGAGTAAGAACTCGCAGGGGGGGGGCAGCCGCCTATCATGCCTCTCCCGTAATACCGCC